ACAAAAACCCAATTTAAAAATGGGCAAAGGATCAGAATAGACATTTCTCCAAAGAAGATCTACAAATGGCCAATAAGCACAGGGAAACACACTCAATATCACTAGCCATCAGGGAAATAAAAATCAAAACCACAATGAGATACCAATTCACACCCACTAGGAAGGCTAGCACAAACGACAGACAATAACATCTGTTTGGGAGGATGTGAAGAAACTGGAACAACTGGAACCCTCATACACTGCTGGCAGGGACATCAAACAGGGGCAGGAGTTATGGAAAACAGTCGGGCCACTCCTCACAAGGTTCAACACAGAGTGATCACATGACCATACAATACAACCCAGACCCAGCAATTCTGCTCCTGGATGTTTACCCAAGAGAAATGAAAACCACATGTCTACACCGAAACTTGTACACAAATGTTCATAGCAGCAATAGCCAAAAAGTAGAAACTCCCCTAGTGTCCATCAACGGATAAACTGATAAACAAAATGTATATCCACACAACGGAATATTATTTGATCATTAAAAAATTACAAATTAAAAGTACTGGTCCCTGCTACCGCACTTTGTAAACCTTAAAAACAATATGCTGAGCGAAAGAAGCCAGTCAAAAAAGACCACATATTATTTGATTCCACTTAGAGGAAATATTCAAAGTAGGCAAATCCATCGAGAGAGAAAGTACGTTCGTTAGTGGTTGCCCAGGGCTAGGAAGACAAGATTGGAGGGGGTCAGCTAACGGTGAGAGCTTGTTTTCCAGGTGATGAAAATGTTATAAAATGTATTATGAGGATAGTAGCACAACTATGTGATTATACTAAAAGCCACTGGATGTTATACTTTCAATGGCTGAATTGTATGGTATGTGGATTATATCTAAATAAAGCCTTAAAAAAAAAAGTCAGGCAAAAGAAAGGTTAAAAAATTAAATGAGGGTGCCTGGGTGGCTCAGTCGGTTAAGCGTCTGCCTTCGGCTCAGGTCATGATCCCGGGGTCCTAGGATCGAGCCCCCGTGTCGGGTTCCCTGCTCAGCGAGGAGTCTGCTTCTCCCTCTGCCTCTGCCCCTACCCCCAACGCTCTGTCTCTCTCTCTCAAATAAATAAATAAAATCTTAAAAAAAAAAAAAAACTAAATGAAATAAGACATTTGGCTCTTCATTGACCCTAGCCACATTTCAAGGGCTCCAAAACCACCACACTGGACAGCAGAGACCAAGAATATTTCCATCTTCACAGGAAGTTCTATTGGACAGCAGTCCTTCAGAGCCACAGTTCTCAACCGGGGTGATCCCCCCACCCGGGGGCATTTGCCAATGTCTGAAGACATTTTGGGTTGTCACAACTAGGGAGTGGGGTGCTGCTAGCATCTAGCGGGTCAAGGCCAGGGATGCCGGCTTAATATCCTACATTGCAAGGACAGCCCTCCGCGCAGAGAATCATCCAACCCAAAGTGTAAATGGTGTAGAGGTTGAGAACACCTGCTTCAAAGGATGTTTATGAGCATCTGGGTGTGTCTGCAGCTATGTGAGGTGCTGTGGTCATGAGGGCAGGTTATGAATCTGCACCAGCGGGGACCTGGGCCGGCAAGCCGCCTCCACAGAGGTAGTTACATCACGTGGGGATTTGGCCAATGTGCAAACGTAGTATGCCAACTGTCCAGCAGAGGGCAGCAGAGTAAGTTCTTCTGACAAAGCAGATGGAAATGAAGTGTCTTAGGGAAGGCCACCTTTTTCTAAGTCACTGAGGTGTCATATGGGCTAGGGGATGCCATAAAAAAAGAAAGAAAAAAGCATGTGAGTTTAAGTCCGTGTCGAAGCCCTATTATATGTGCATGAGTTTCAGTGATCGGGTCTCAAGATAATTCACATAATTCACATACCATACAAGACAGTCGGGGCCCAGGTGATACCCTCTCAGCCTCCACCCACTGCTACTCCCCGCAGCTTACCAAGCTCATCCACAGCATTGACATCAGCATGGCTGGCAATGAGCTCTTCCACCATGCCCTCCACCGCCAGGCGGGCGGCCAGAATTAGTGCCGTAGAGCCATCCGCCATGCGGGCATCCAGGTCTGTGGAGCGGTTCCGGATGAGAATCTAGAAGAGAAAGCATGCAGAAGGGAAGGTCATGGCAGAAACAGAGGGACCAGGAGCATCTGAAAGTCCTCTGAGTTCCCCAACCCCCCCCCGTCCCCTAGACTCCATGAAGTTCGGGAAGCAGCTACCTGCCAGCCACCGTATATCACCACTTAACAAATGAGAAAAACAAAGCTCTATTTTGCAGGACCAGGGCTCAAACCCAGGTCTGCCTGATGCCTGTGAAAGCTCCAAAGTCCAAAGGGGCAGGTGCATTTCACCTGGAACACGCCCTGGGCATCCGCGGTGACTGCAGTGTGCAAAGGAGTGCGCCCTGAGTGGTCCTGGGCATTGGTGTCTGCCCCAGCATCCAGCAACCGCTTGGCTGCATCAGCCCGGGCGTAGCGGGCAGCCAGGTGCAGGGCTGTCTCGCCTGTGCGGTCAGTCCGTGCCCCAAGCTGGGCTCCCTGGCAGATCAAGTCTGAGATGATGCTGGCTGATGTGTCTTCTGCCTCATCCTCCTCAGTGGGCATTGGCTCCAGGGCCCCCCCACAGAAGGAGGCCAGCATCAGTGGAGTGAAGCCATCTGCGGGGACCAGGAGTATGTCACAAGGGAGGTGGGCACAGGGGCCTTTCCAGGGACTACTACTGAGGGCACTGCATTAGGAGGAAGGGGACACATGGGAACACAAGAGGGAATGGCATGCGCGTGCGCACACACACACACAAACACACATACACACACCTGTGTCAGGTACCCCAGAAACCAACCCAGGATGAGGATTCACAGGCAGCCCTTCCGTGGTTTGTCACAGTAGAGGATCCAGGAGGGAGGGAGGGAGGAGCAAGCATTCAGTCTCAGGCAAATTCCCAGGCGGTTACTTCAGCCTGATCCTGAAGGGGGACTCTGGAGGCTGAACTGTACCTCAAGCTGTAATCTGGCTCCAGGCAAAGGAGCTGTGCCTTTCACACGCCCCCACCCACTGGTTAAGAGCCACCCCAGGGACATAAAATCCCAGGCACCTCAGACCCTGGTAGCCTGAGGAATTTCAAAAGAGAGCCATAGATGCAGGCCATTTGGAACAAAAGCAAAATGAGCTGGGGGAGGACTACCTTGAAATGTGGCAAAGACGGATCCAAGAGGACCCAAATAATGTGATCTGCTACCCTCCGCATGAGCATTTGCACCTGTTTCCCTTAGGGAGCCACGTGCACCCCATTCCCCATCTTCAAGCCCTGGGTAGCGCTAAACCCAGTCCTTGGCTCGAGGAGAGGTCTTAGCCCCGCCCCCTGCAGGCAATCTGCATATTCCAGCCCCCAGGGCGCACTGATTAGTTGAGGGATGGGCATGTGACTGCAGCCCATCCAATCAGAAGTCATCTGGGACGTCTGCTGGTGCCCCTACTGGTCTGGCCTGCCGCTACAGTGCCCCCAGGAGAAAGCCTCCCCGGGCTGGAGCCACGAGGCCGTGAGTCCTGGACCCAAATATCCATGATGCTTCCAGTTACCCGAGCCAGTAAACTAGTTTGAGTTGGGCTATCATCACAACCCGGAGTCCTGATTAACACACACCCCCACAGACGGATGCTGGACACACCCTACTCTCCCCAGAACCCAGACCCTGATGCAACTTTTCAGAAGTAGGATGGGGAAGGGGCATCCTTGGCGGGGAGGCCCCATGGCTGACCTGGGCCTCGCACATTGACATCCATGCCATCAGCATCCACATCGCCCTGCGGGGGTGTCAGCGCCATGGCTGGTGCCACACGGATGTCTGCGGCAACCAGGTGGTGTTGGGTCCACTGGCGGCAATCCACGGCATCCTCAGCCCCCACACAGGGCTCCTCTACCTGGAGGAACAAGGACCAGGGCTCTCACAAAGAGTTGGGAGAGAGACAGTCAGAGGGACAGTCTGGGCGCCCTCACAGGTTCCTCTCATGGAGGTGCGCATTCACAGCCCCAAGAAACCCTGAATATCCTGCTTCTCTTATACATACGGAAACAGGAAATTGACATACTGGAGGTCACAAAACTCGTAAAAGGAAGAACTGGGATTCTACTCTGGGTTGGAAGTGGGGAGGGCTAGGAACCCAAGGAGGTGATCAAGGAAGAGACACAGAGCATAGCACCTGTCAGCACACACCTGTCTATCCACTAGACATAACACACTGAAAGTGAAGAGAACAATCCCATGACAACTGTATCAAGGAGAACAAAATACTTAGAATTAAATTTAACAGAAGAAATGCAAAACTTGTATTCTGGAAACTATAAATCACACTGGTAAAAGAAATGTGGGGGTGGAGGGGTGATCCTTTATGGATCAATTTTAATCTGAGAAAAGGGCGATTGGGTGGGAGGGAAAGAGAGAAGCAGGGAGAAGCTCTGGATACCTTGTGGGGCTCCTACCCAGTACCATGAACATGAACATGAGGTATCAGGTCAGAACAGTCATACACAAACGTATTGATTTACCTTCACAAGCAGAGCACCTGGGCCCCTGGCGGGGGCTTGATAAATTTCAGGCTCAGGGTCCAAAAGGCATAATGATGTTATGAAAACAGGACAGAGTATTCTTAACTAGCCTGCCAGGACATTTAAGAGCCTTCAGGCACCAAACACAGCCTGATCAAGCCAGACCTAAGCTTAAGGACCCAGCTAGAGAGTTTAATTTCATGGAAGGGGAGAGCCAGGTGATGGACAGCTGTCCCATCCTCCCTCACCCTTTCTGGTTAGCTGTCCATCAGCTGGCAAATCACACTAGAGCTCTGAGCTTCTCATTAGCAAAATCAGGATAATGCTGTCATTCTGCAATCCAAAAATGCCATCAAAAACATATTGCACTATCTACTTAATACCCACTTTGGGATGAGAAAGAAAAAGAAAAGCCTGAGGTGAACAGATTTCTTCAGGTGTCAACTGTAATAGATGTCTCCATTTCACAAACATTAAAATCTAGGCAGGGGGTGCCCCGGTGGCTCAGTCAGTTAAGCATCAGACTCTTGGTTTTGGCTCAGGTCACGATCTCAGGGTGGTGAGATTGAGCCTCAGATCGGGCTCCAAGCTCAGCACAGTCTGCTTGGATTCTCTCTCCCTCTTCCTCTGCTCCTCCCCTGCTTGTGCGTGCACTCTCGCTCACTGGCGCTCTCTCTCTCCCTCTCTCTCTCTCATAAATAAAGGGGAGAGGCAGGCTGAGAACTGCCTCTAGGCAGGGAGAGGCAGCTGAGAACTGAGGTGTATATTAATAGCTGCTTTATAGGGTCCTCATAAAGATGAAATAAGATGCTCGTGTGTATATTCAAGACATTCAGCAAGTAGAAAGAAATGCTAGCAGGAACCTGTTACAGACAGAACAGTGCTTCCCCAAAAGTCATATGTTGAAGCCCTAACCTCCAACATGATTATATTTGGACGTAGGACTTTAAGGAGGTAATTAAGCTGAAACAAGGGCATAAGGGTGGGGCCCTAATGCAATAGGACTGACATCCTTGTAAGAAAAGGCAGAAACACCAGGGCTCTCCCCCTCCAGGCACACGGAGGAATGCCGTGTGAGGACACATGGAGAAGGCAGCTGTCTGCAAGGCCAGAAGAGAGCCCTAACCAAGAACCAACCCTGCCAGCACCCTGATCTTGGACTTCCAGCCCGCAGAACTGTGAGAAAATAGGGATCTGTTGTTTAAGCCCCACAGTCTGTGGTATTTCATAATGGCAGCCCAAGCTGACTAAGACAGAGCCCATGGGTGTGGCCCCAGCAGAAGACATGCTGTTTAAAACCAGCTAGGAGCACTTTCAGCCCGGGCACACTGGACAAAGTTGGACCCAGCAGAGAGAAAGCAGAGTCGCTGTCTGGGCCAGGGGCTCCCCTCAAGGAAGACCCCCACCCTGGCCTGGGAGCAGGGGCCTGGTTAGAGAGGGGCAGGATGGGGCGGATGCCATGACTGTTCCCCAGAGCCGAGGAGAGCAGAGATTTCCCCTGACTCTCCCCCTGGCAATTGGGGCCTCCACCCAGGACCCTGAGGGCAGGGGTCAGAGAAAGGGGCGCAACCTTCAGTCGCTTAGCCTCTGGGCACTCTGTGTCCATCCAGTCTGTGGCCACCTCCCCCATCAGACTCTCGCTCTTGGCCATGTTCCTGTGGGGACAATGGGAAGGGGGCAGGGGAAAAGAGAAAATGGAGATGTGCAACCTGATAGGAGGATTTGGGGTGGGGTCAGAGAAGAGCTCCCAGAGGCCAGGTCTGGGTCTGGGGTTGGGTTCTGGGGTCCTGGGTCAGTAGGCACAGGAGACAGGGTCAAGATACAGGGTCCAAAGAGGGGACACAGGATGAAGTCAAGGTCACAGTGGGGGGTAGTCAGAGGTTATGATGGGTGGCAGCCAGGGTCTTAAGGTAGAATTGGGGAAGGGACAGGAGTGGGGTCGGGGTCAGAACAGTGGGCTATGGGATAGGTGAGGGTGACAGGCATGTAGCAGGGATTATAGAAGATGACATGAGGATGCAGTTGTCCTCACCACAGGTGAGAGATGCAGCCAGGATCAAGGAGGCTGTATTGAGGAGTAAGGAGGTCATGGGGTCACAGGAGAGGGGTAAATTCAGGGGTTAGGTAGGGTGGGGTTGCGGGTCTTGAGGGACACATCAGGGAGTTGGAGGCAAGGCCCAGGGCCAAGGCCAGGATTGAGGATCATGGAGAATGAACACTGAGTTGGGGGTGGAAAGAGGGTCAGAATGGGGTCAAAGGTCAGAGTGAGTTAGAGTTAGAGGTGGTACCGGGGGGTCACAGAGGATAGGGTCAGGGGTCAGTGAGGCGTTGAGGTGCAAACAGGGATCATGAGGCCAGCAGTCATGTGGGAACAAATTTGAGTATTAGGGTGAAGTCAGAGAGGCCAGGATCAGGGCAGGGTCACGGTAGGGTCAGAGTAGGATTTGAGTCAAGGGAACTGAGATACAGGAAATGGGGTGAGGGAGGTCATGAGTCGGGGTGATCCCCAGGGATCATGGAGTCAGTCAGTGGTCAAGGGGATGAGCACAGGGGTCTGGGCCGGAGTCTGAAGTTAGGGTCTGCTTGGGATGAGAGGTCAGAATCAGGTCAAAGTGGGCTCAAGGGCTCCCGAGAACCGCCCCACACACGCAGGCATGGGGAGTGGGCAGGGTCCTTACTTCATGCCCAGCGCGTCTTGGCCCACGGGCTCCCGCCGGCCCTTGTGGCCGGCAGCCACATCCTTGTGGAGCGCGAAGCCCTCGGGGAACCAGAGGGTGCTGTGCTCGCGCTTGCGCCGGGCCACCATGACACCCAGGACGAGGATGACCAGCAGGAAGACGGCGCTGGCGGCCAGCAGGGGAAGCAAGGGCACGCTTGGCTCTGGCAGCTCCAGGGGCTCCCCTGTGGGCAGGAAGCAGGGGGCGGGGCTTCAACCACAGGCCAGGGCCCGCCCCCCGCGGAGCCCCGGCGCCACCCCCGCCACCCACCGGGCCCGGCCTCACCCCGCACGGCGCGCAGCGGGTACGGGAAGTCAAGGCGCTCCACGGCCGACAGCGCTCCCAGGTAGTCGGCCGCGCTCTGCGCATCGGGGAAGCAGTGGTCATTCTCGGGCGACTGCAGGCACAGCCGGTTGTCAATCTCCAGCATCACCACAGAGCTGCAGGGACACGAGGGAAGGACAGGCAGGTTCCATGGGGCACCTGCTGTAAGCCAGGCACGGAGCCCCATCCCAGGGGCTCAGAGGAGTCCTCTCCTCTCACCATGTTGCCAGGGCCCACCTGCCCCCAGTCTGGCATCCAACCCACCACACCCCGAAACCAGTCTTGCTGTGGCCACCAGTGTCCCCTTGGCCATGAATCCAGTGGGCATTGTTTTCATGTCAGCACCTCTAGTGGATGCCGTTGGCGCACACCCAGGTCTGCAGCTTCTAACAGCTGACAGCCGCTCTTCTCCAGAAAACTGACCTCAGCAAAGTGGGGACCTCTTCACTTGGGAGGTGACACCCCTTAGGGCAGCCCTCAGCCCATGACTGGCAGGTACAGGGTATACAAAGTGGCCCTTCTGTCTCAAGGGGGGACTGACTCTGGGGTGCTATTCACACTCTAGAGCTCCCTGAGGGATCACACTGAGGCCAGACTGAGACCCCTTCCTGCCCCATCCTGCGTCCCTCATCCCCTCTCTCCTGAGAGCACCCCTTCCATGCGGCACATACATCTGAATCCCCATCTCAGACTCTCCAAACTCCCTCTTGCCTTGAGATCCCTAGTGCCGCATGGCCCAGTTCTCCTCCTATCTCTCTGGCTACTCCTTCTCCTCTTTTTTGAGCTGATTTCCCTCAACCAATCCTTAGGTCTCAATGTCCCCAGATCATTCTTCTGTCTCCACTTCTCTGAGTCCCTCCCATGGCTTCAACACCCTTTTATCTTTCTTGTCCATGTCTTCAGCCTCTGGCTGTCTCCTGGGGGGGAGGCTCCACGATACCCCCAGACTCCTCAGATTCTGCAAGCCTGAATGTGACCCCTGTTTAACATCCTGTGTCCTTATCTTGATGAGACACGCCCCCCCCCCTGGCCCCACCGCCCCCAGATACCCTATCCCCACACCCAGGGAACATCCAGGGACTGGTAGGTCAGCCACCCGACTCCATCCACTCCTCCCTTCCAGCTGTCCCTGTCAGAGCCCCTGTCCTCC